GGAGAACACTTGAACTCTACTGAGCTCTCAACTGTCTCTGCGTGGAAATAAATACTTTCATAAGAAATACATTAGTTCCCATTTCTGGAGTTACATTAATTTCAAATACACAGAAAGGTACAATAATAGAGAAATGGCAAAGCACCACATTTCTATAAGTAGAATCTTCTCAAAGCAGTTCCCATTGGTCCAGGCGAAGGAGAAAAGCTTCACCTCGGTTTCGCTGAGCGTCAGCTGACACAGCGTCCGCTTATCGACGTTCTCGAGGAAGCGGATGTCGTACATGGATTCCGCCATCCGATCTCCATCCAGCACCTCGCCCAAGCTCAGCGACTTGTGGCGTATCTGTCGGGGGGGGGCACAGCGATACTCAGGACTCCTCAGGATGCACGGGCTCACGCTTCATGCGGCTGCACGCTGGCTACTGACCTCTTTGGGCCTGCAGACTGGCAGGGTGTAGTAATGGTAGGTTTCCTGGGGGTTATGATAGGGGCCAACTTTGTTCACGTAGAGCGTCACGTGATCTCCGTTCTTGTACTTTATCACCCCTTCTGCACAGGGCAGTAGACTGAGAGCTACTATGCCCATTGCCAGGCCCTCTATGAAAATCTGCAGCCTTCCCTTCATGACAGCCCCTATCAACAACACACATAATCAGATCAACACGAGTTTTCATGGTACCAGACAATTAAACAACGACAATAGGAATTACTCAGAATTAGTCTGTTCACCTCCTGATGTACGTAAGCAATAAACAGTTAATCTCCCCAAACAATCAATATGTATAGTTCTTTATTTATTCAGTACCAAGTAGCCGGTTGTATTTATCAGTCCCACAACACTCGTTGATTATAAACATATAATCAGAGTCATGAGGAGGGAAAAAAACATCCTGTAGAAGGCTTAAAGTGTCCAACATCTCGGGCAATGGAGAAATTTGTTTTTCTATCCGTGTGCTAACTCACTATAGTGCCTGAAACCGGACCTTATTGTTATCAACAGTGGGCCTTGATTTTTAAAGTTTATTTGAAAACAACCGATATCACAGCAGTCCAAAAATACGAGCCTGAGAAAAAGAATCAAGGCCACGATGATCAAACCAAGCTTGCCTTCAACTTCCAGCAAGAAAAAAGACCAACTTTGTCATATTCTAAAACAGTGAGCTGAAACATAATTCCGTATATCTCAAGAATGCGTTTTCCAACGAAAGTCTTTAATTAAAACGATCCCATCGTCCCTAAGGCCAAAGCATGTGATGTATCTGTTCAAACTGTTTTTTTCCCCCAAGAAAAACTACTTTAAAACCATAAACTACAGATAAACATAAAGCTCCGACAATCGTGTCCGCTCTGAAATCAGCGTCTAAATACATTTAAAATCTTTGCAAGATAAAGCATCAAGAACATGCAGAATCAGTGCTGCAATTCATCAGCCAGTGGTTGTTACTCTGTTTTAGGATCACAGTGGAAACGGCAGCATCGGACAGGTAATGAGAATGCAACATGACAGGTCTGGCTGTAAAACAGAATGCAACAAAACCTCTCTTTGGCAGCCGACCAAATGCAGATATTGTCAGGAAAACGTTCGAACGTGTCAAAAGCTACCATCAAGACATGCAACGTTTACAGCTATGGATTTTTCTTCTATTTGGCAAACAGTCGGTTACAGTACCGCAGTTTCCTACAGTGTCACACTGATATCTTGCTCGCCGGTGATGTGGATCCGAGGCCCGGAAAGATTCGCGCACAAACCGCGCAGCGATCCCCCCCACCGGGGTCAGCTCGGCCTCAAAACAGATGTTCCGCAGCACCTCGCCGGTTAATTAAATGCATTTATTTATCTAGGACGCGGCGCTAATTTCCCGATTATTGTTATTATTATTTTAGCAGTCGCATTCGGACAACCGCCGATACACGTCATCGGGAAGAGCACATTGCGCCTCGCTTTTCCGGGGTGGGCGGAGCCTCTCGGGTGTGACGTAGACGCGCCGCTGACCACGCCTCCCCGCCGCTTTTTCACTTTAGTGCAAATCCCCTGTGGTATTTTAATTTCTTAGTAGGTATTATAATGTATTATAATGTTATTTAATCTAACAGAAGTCTCAGAGCTGCCTTTAAACGTTCAAAATAAGTATAGTCTTTGTTAAGGTTTTAAAATTATATATTAAAATCAGATATATGTTGACTTACCTTTTATTTCTTTGATTTTTTTTTTTAACCGAAATAGTATTAATAATGTACTGAGTAAAATTATTTTTTAACCATCAGTGTTGCCAAATCTCACGCAACTTTCGTGACACTCACGCTTTCAGACTTAAAAAAAAAATCTTACGGCAAATCTGTATTATTACATCAAAAACCTAAAATCAGCTGCATATCGCAGTTTGCAAACCCTACAGACCATTTGCAACGTAATAAAACTGTTGCATACATGTAAATGCGTGATCATGTGTGCGCTGACTTGTCTCGATTGAGTGAAGTTGGCAATCCTGCATAATGGCGCCGTGGGCTTAGGGTTTTACACACTGAGTTTAATGTGTTTCTGGTTTGTGTGCCTGTGTGTGGATTAGGTTTATATTACATTGTGGGCACCAAATGTCGCGCACAATGTAATAAAGGCCTGTTTTTTTGGCATTTGGGGACCATTTTTCAGGTCCCCACAAAGATCTGTGAATGCAATCAAAAAACTAAAAATGCCAAAAGTCTCATATTTTGTTTGGTTACTTATGGTTAAGGTTAGGGCTGGGTAGGAGTTAAGCTCGTCATGTTGTGATTAGTGTTTTCCCCATAGAAATGAATTGGGAATCCCCACAAAAATATAATTACAAACCTGTGTGTGTGTGTTTGCTTGCCTTACCTTACCAGGAAGTAGAATCCTCTTTCGGGTCAAAATATTGCTTCCAGTAAGCCTATACCTCTCATACCAGCATCTGGTTTTTAGCAGTTTTTTCTTCCACACATACCTGTCCTCCTTTTAATTGCATGTGTTCACTTCCAAAGAGATGTTTCAGAGATAAAGCACCTCTTGAAAGTCATTTGTGCTGTTGTCCAGGAAACACTGTCCCCACAAGAGAGGCAGGCGTACTTACACCAATCTTAGACACTCTCTCCTGCTCGGTCGTTCGCTCTCCTTCATCATATATCAACTCACCTGATTTTTTGCCGCAGTCTCCTTTCAGGCTTTCTTTGATGGAGAAGAAATTTATTTATAAAGCGCCTTTCACAGACAGTCACAAAGCATTGCACATAATAAAAAAAACATTAAAAGACAGCAAACAAGATTAAATACGTAACCTAGCACTCCAATGGACAGTAAGCACTAAAAATGAAATGGCTACCCACAGGCCTGACAACAAATATGCCTGCATGTGGTTTTGAAGACATCAAAAGTGCCAGCAGCCCGCAAAGCAGGAAGAAGGTTGTCCCACCATCTCAGTGCAACAGCCTGGAGGGCATGATCCACATGTGTCTTTAGCCTTGTACGAGGAACAATAAGAAGGTCCTGGTGAGATGACCTAAGTCACTGACTTATGGTATGTTGGTGTAGAAGATGAGAAATATACTGAGGGGTTTGACCATGCAGGACCCTTTGAGTGAGGACTAAAACTTCCTAAATTGTAGCGGAAGCCAATGAGAAAATAAAATCGGGGTGATATGAGGCCACCTACTGGAACAGGTTAACAGTCCAGAAGCAGCATTTAGAATTGACTGAAAATGTAGCAGTGAGGTCTTTTTATAAACACTCGAACAGATAATTACAATAATCCAAATGTGACACAATAAAGGCACGAACCAACATCTCCATTTGAGCCATTGGCCACTATTGTTCTTAATTTTGCAAAAACAGGAGCGAGAAAGGGACCTAACACAAGAATCCAAATTCAGGAACTGATTGAATGTAACACACAGGATCTAGGCACAAGTTTGAAAATGAAGAGAGAGCACAACCTGAGACTAATCTCTGCATATGTCAGGTGAAGCATTAACTAAAATATCAGTTTTATTAGAGTTAAGCTGTACAAAGGTGGCTGTCAGCCATTTGCTAATTTCACACAGGCACTCAACTAAGACAGATTCTCTTCTCACCATATCTTATAGATTTTTATGAAATTCATGAAAAATGTTCCCACAGGGTAAACAGTTACAGGATTTTATCACATTTGGTCCCCACAATGTAATGTAGAATCCCCCCACAAACACACACACTCACATTACAAATAATTTGAGATGCCAATTAACCTAACTGCAGGTGTTTGGACTGCAGGAGGAAGCCCACATGATACAGGGAGGCAATCTCACACACACAGTGGAAGTGGAGAAGCCCAGCACCTAAAACTAAATATTATTGCAGTTACAATGCACTGCTTTTTACCTAAAACCTGTTATGTCATGTCAGCAATCAGAATGACTGACTCATCATTCAGCGATCAAACCACCTGCATATGCTGGCTATTTAATTGATCATTACTGGTGAAATTAAAATCTATGGTCCTCCTTGTTTAGCTTTTTTGCTTTTCTATATTAATATTAAAAAAAATGTTTTGTATAGATGCACTGGAAAAAAAATCTCTGCAGGTATTCCATCAGTAGTGTTGTGAGTCATTGCAAAATAATTCCAGCCAAGCTGTGCATCATACTGTAAATCAGCTTTGTGGGACTGTAAAGAAGCACACAGAGGTTATGGGTAACAGACTTGCACAAGGAAATCCCAACTCATTTCCCATAGAAACTGTTCAGAATCTTAAATAATCTATATTGTATATGTGGATTACATGTATGTGTCATACAGCAATGCCAATTTAATACCATACCATTATATTTCTTACTGTGCCTGTTTTCATTTGACAGAAGTATTTGTCTAATTCCAGCTCTCATTTGTTCTAAATGAATAGATTTATGTACTGCAACTAGATAACTGTAAAACATGCATTTATAAGGCTTTCCATCTGCACATATACAGCCTGCATCATCTTTAAAAAACATAAGCATAAAAACTTACGACACATTTCAATATTTTTATTCGTTCAACATACAAAAAGTCTTCTCCACCATCACATCCAGTTAAAACGTATTACCACTGGTTTCTCATTCTAGTTTTCCAAAAACAAATTTATATTATATATATATATATATATATAATTAAAACTTAAATTTGTAAACAATTCAAGCAACCACGTCCTTATACTCATTATATGTGAATATATTGAAATACATAGTGATTTTCTATTTTATTTTTTCCACACTTCAGTGTCCCACATAAAACTTTAAATACTGCACAGCTTGATATGTCACCAACCCCATTCCTTCTTATTAAAACTTCAGGTTTTATCATTCAGAAACACGTCTTTATCTGCACTCCTTCTCTTGATCCATTGCACCTGCCATTATTTTCTCACCCGCTCCTTCAGGGACTTTAGCTCCTCCCATATCTGTGGGGGAAGGTCGGACCCCACTTGTTGACTAAAATACGTTTGGAGTTCCTGCACTTCATTTTCCCAGAAGGCCTTTGGCAGGCTTAACAGGGCATCCATATCCACATTGCTCAGACCCTTCAGGTCAATGGCGCCCTTCTGGGGCAGCCAGCCCACGATGCTCCTCTCGGCCGCGTCGTCCTCCCTCTCCCTACCACAGCGCCTGAAGATCCACTCGAGGACCCGGGCATTCTCGCCGAAGCCGGGCCAGAGGAACGACCCATTTGTGGGATCCTTTCGGAACCAGTTGACATGGAATATCTTGGGGAGATGGAGAGGCTTCGGCCGAGTCTCCATGCTGAGCCAGTGGGCCAGATAGTCCCCAAAGTTGTAGCCAAAGAAAGGCCGCATGGCGAAGGGATCGTGCATGATGACCTTGCCTGTAACAGAACAGCATGGGTCAAACACTTCAGCCTTTTAAGGCAGGCACTCAACATCCACATGTTGAATTCTCAAGTTTGACTCAGCTTTCCTCCATCAGTACCTTTGTGCTCAGCAGCAGCAGTGGACTCAGACCTCATGGAGGCCCCAACAAACACACCATGGCGCCAGCTGTAGGATTCATAAACCAGTGGAACTCCTGTGGAAAGACGTCATGTGACTGAGGATTCAAGATCCAGTGTTTTTTTTTTGGTCACATGCATGAATGTAGTGGTGCACCACCAAGGAAATGAAAATTACTACACTACTCCAGACCGTGCTATAGACAAAGCAGAAGGATAATTTGTGTTACTTAATTTAACAAAGCATTAAAAAAAAAATTAAAGGTAAAAAGTAAGAATAAGTAATACACGTTTCTGTAGTGCTAATGCTAACGTTACCATCACTGATTGTGTTAACACTACTAATTTAAGTGTGTAAAAGTTGTTTAGCTCATTTAGATGCCATGGAATGGGGTGGGGACAAAACAGGACCTTCCATTAAGGGACGACTACACATCAAAAACATCATCGGTTTCATTGTTCTTGGCAAGACTTCAAGTGGCTTTGAGTGCATGCCAAATGATACAATACATATATATGTCTTCTCCTATCTCCTCAATGTTAGTGCATCTTGATAAAACTTCCTAGCAATTGTCCATATTCCAAGGTGCTATGCATCACCTTGCATTTTGAATTCAGTTACAAGATTCATCGAATAGTGGAAATACTATTAAATAAAAGAATTATGCCTAAAATGATAGTTACGCAACATGACATTGTTCTTATAAAGGCTTTCACTTTAAAAGCTCATCTCTAAGCACTGCAGTGAGCTGATGAAATATGCATCAAGTCTTTATATATGTCTTTATAGGTTCATAAAGACATTTTATTGATTAACTACCAGGACACGTGGAGTTGCCAAGCAGCCAAGATAAGGGAATTCTTTTTTTGTACATGGCAAACAGGCATTTTGTTAGAACACCTATTTGCTGAAATAGGCTTACTCCTTCACAGCTGTATGCTTGTAATCTGCCATTTGTCTCACTTGTGTGTCACTCTGGACTTGTCTGGCATCTGGTAAATAAATGCAGCTTTGTGAAATATACAACGTTTTGAAGTTGTGCTTTAAGGACCCCCCCCCCCCAGCCATGAGCAGGCAGCATTTCCTGGTTAAACCTATGAAAGCCATGCCGGAGCACACGGCCCAGTGAATAGGACCCACCCTCTGGTCGCCTTCCGCCAAAGATGATGGCGTCGATGGGAACCCCTTCCTCACTCTCCCACTTTGGGTCGATGATGGGACACTGTGCGGCTGGGGCACAAAACCTGGAGTTGGGGTGCGCACAAGGAGTGGGGTTTCCTGAAAGGAGGTAAAGAGGAGACGTAAGGCTAGTTAGCATTATAACGTAATGCTAATATTTGCGATAGAGATTCTTCTGATCCATCAAGTCATTTTCACCTAGCTTCCATGCTTTGCCGTGCCAGTCGGTCAGTGAGACCCCCGGGGGTGGGGAGTCCAAACCCTCCCACCACACCCCACCATCGCTGGTCTCCCCAACATTGGTGAACACAGTGTTTTTGGAGATGGTTTCCATGGCATATGGGTTGGTCTTCATCGAAGTGCCAGGAGCCACACCAAAAAAGCCGTTCTCCGGATTGATGGCCCTGAGTTTCCCTAATCGAGGAAACAAACCTCAAAATTATCAGTCATAAGTGGGGGAGGAATTCAGATTTAAGGAACAACGTCCTGGCCTCCATCTCTCACCCTGGCTGTCGAACTTCATCCAGGCGATGTCATCTCCCACACATTCCACCTTCCAGCCAGGCAGGGCCGGCTTCATCATGGCCAGGTTCGTCTTCCCGCAGGCACTGGGAAAGGCCGCTGCCACATAACGTTTCACTCCCTGAGGGTTGGTGATTCCTAGAATCTGAGAGACGGCAAACAAGAGAGTCATTCTTCTGGGTACGCGGCTCGACAGAAGCTGAAAGTCGAGACGGTGATGAAAGCGGCGCCCCCGCTGCCCCCCCACACACCAGCATGTGCTCGGCCAGCCAGCCCTCGTCCTTGGCGATGCGCGAGGCTATCCTCAGGGCAAAGCACTTCTTTCCCAACAACGAGTTTCCTCCGTAGCCGCTGCCGAAGGAGAGGATCTGCCTGGTGTCTGGCAGGTGGGAAATCAGCACCTTCTCGGGATTACAGGCCCAGGAGCTAATCAATGGAGCTGCAATAATGGGAGGAGAAAAATCCATTGAATCTACATGTGTGCATATACACACACAACGCATCATTAGCTATTCCATAGGCACAGTCTCTTGCAACACTGGATGCTCTTAATTCTGTATTCCTGCTTTGGTTTTGGGACCAGTCCGCCACAGCAACTGCAGGTGCTTTGCTTATTATTAGATGATCTATCAATTTTGTTCATTTTTTTCCCCCCCCAAACATCATATGAGTGACAAACTGGACTTGGACACTTAACCTTGTGAACAGGATAACGGTTTGATCATTGATACCACTTCACAAAAACATTATATGGTTGAAAATCTACACCTGAATATATACACCCCATGAACCTGAAACCAGGGAAGATAAAGTCACTTTCCATGTTGTTTTGTGGGAAAGGAAATCGGTATATTCTAACAGAGAGCTTTGATGTGTAAATAAAGTTTTTGTACCTTATTGCACGTTTATATACTTTAAGTAAAAATGTTCATTTTTAAAATTAATTTCATTTATTGGGCAAAAGGAACTTGCCAGTGTAGTCATGCAGTTAAGACTTTTGGGACATGAGATTTGAGTTTGCACTCATCCTGAATATGGTACAAATGCCCCATATTGAAAAATAAAATGCTGTGTGCAAAGGTGAACCAATATGGAACACTTCACTATTTGACCTGTGTTTTCTGTCCGCATCATTGTGAGCTCACCTATTGTCCTTTCCTCCTCCCCGAAACATTCTGCATGACCATCATTACTCACCCGATTAAATATAAAAATAAATAAAATCTATTACATGCAGAGCACCTCAGTAGGGCTGAAGGTATGAGGTATGTATTTAATTTACAAAAAAAAAAAAAAAAAGTTCTGCTGCTAATCTGTCCCAGCAAGTTTGGCCAGTTTTGTCACTGAAGAATTTGTGAATCAGCTTTCTTTATTGCGCCACTCTGTAAACTTACAATGCTATATACAAACCTGTCAGGTGAATTTAAAAAGGATACGTTTCATTTTCAAGATCAACAGAACTGAACATATAGTACTTTCTAATTTTACCCGAGTAATATTTCACTGTATGACTTGAGTAACATTTTAGTGTAGTGTCTACGTTTATTAAAATATGAAAACTGAGTACTTTTTCTACCAGGGCTTGACTGCAGAAGTATGAATAGTTCTGTGTGCGTGTTGTACGTGCAGATACACGAACACAGCCTGCCTGTGTTGAAGTATGTCCCGGCCTTTGTAACTGATGCTTACATACATAGTTGTCTGTCTGTCTCTGTGTGTGTGTGTGTGTGTGTGTGTGTGTGTGTGTGTGTGTGTGTGTGTGTGTGTGTGTGTATACACACAGAGCTGGAAACGTAGGTTAGATGGCTGAACTGATAACCAAATCGCAAGTCTTTGTAATCTTTCTTTGTGTGTAGCCTAAGCCTACCTCCCCGGCAAAGGCAATGACAGCCAACTAGTCATGGTCAGATAGACACCGAATAACTTAATCGACTATCTCCCAGTCTATTACATCTATACCATTGCTATGTCTGTTATAGTTCTTAGTGTTACGTCACAGGGAAAAAAAAATGGTCATAGTGGAAATGAGAAAAAGAATGTAAATATTCAGACATAAACATGAATGATATAAATGGCACAAAGACAGAGACATTAAAACACACAAAGAAATACAAGTAACTGCCTAATTGGTGGGGAAAGATTGCGCAAATTGGTAGATGTGGAATGAACAAGTTACGCGTCACAATTAGGATTCAGAGCATTGGAATAAAAACACATTTATTGGCTTTCACATTTCCAGTTGATCCATTCAGTACTTCTACACATTGCAGAGGCTGAGGTGTGTGGCTGGAGTAAGGAATAGGGGTGATGGGGCTGTCCGGCGAATACAATGCAGACGTCTCAGCAGCCCCACCCTTTCTAGTTTTATTTTCCCCCTCGTCTAGCAAGAACCCAGTTCTGATGGTAATTTGATTTGACCAGCATTTCCTTAAGTTAGATTCCACAATGTTTGCCGCTTTCTCAAAGGCAAACTTGCACTCGTTATTGGTCCCTCACTGCAAGCTTAAGACGGATTTATACTTTATCGTCGGGCCTGCGCCGTGACCTACGCCGCTGCGAGCATTTATACTTTTATACTTGTGTGCTGGTGTGTCTGTGATACTCAGCAATTACACCGTCAAAACACTAGGCGATACATAATTTTGGATGTTGCATTTATTGTCTTCCCAACCTGCATGATTGTTGATCACACAAATGAAATAAGGAAAAAAAACATTTAACAAAAAATATCCATTTATCGAGGCCTGGTTATATTTGTGCTGCTCCACTTCCCGTAGACAAATCTGGGAAAACGTTGAGCGGCTATAAAGTCCCTCTGTATGCTTTTCCCCTTCTAAACCTAGTGTCTATACTAGTTTTTACTTTAAGTCTTGTAAACTTAATGGAGGGAAGTGAAATTGGCACAGTCACCATCAGTGTTTTGTAGACCTGTTGCTATGACGCCTAGGGTGGGATATTAAAAGCTAGATAAAAACAGTACTTCAGTTTCAATCAGCGATATACAAGCACCTGGGATGTATTTAGATTTCGGGGGAGGTACAGGTTACGGAATAGGGTCCAAGGCTACGCCGTACTTACAGCGTCTGGTCGACATAGCGTATGAATCAGCTTTTAGTCTGACAGTAAATAACTTGGCTTATTGACAGTGTGTGATGTATTATCAGCTTCACTTGTATGTCGCTTTGGACAAAAGCATCCACTAAATAAATGGAATTGTAATCATTTATTGATCTATATCTACACTTAAACTGTAGAAGACGTAGGGGAGCAGGGTGACTGGATGCAGTGTAAGTGACAAGCATACCTTTGAGAGGTAGGGGCCTTCCCAGGGAGTGCTGACAGCGGACAAACTCGGCCCCCTGGGCGAGCTTCTCCATCACCGCGGAGCCCATGCGCGTCATGATTCCCATGCTGGCCACCACATAGGGCGAGTCTGTCACCTGCACGCCGAACTTGGCCAGCGAAGAGCCCACCGGACCCATGCTGAACGGGATCACGTACATCTTCCGGCCTTTCGGAAAAACAGATCTTAACTTTAATTTCCATTATATACCATTTTGTCTGGGTTCATTATTACAGCTTAAAAGTAACTGGAGAGAAAGAGCCAGTGAGCAGGACAGTTCATAGTCCCTCATAACAGTGTCAAAGGCAGACGGACTTGCGTCATCTGGACTGAAGTTAATTGAACAGAGAGCAAATGTCACACAAATATCTGCTACTGCAGTCACTGGCTGTTCAGTTATATCAGCAAGACAAGACGACAAACAGAAACAGATCCCTTCCAAGCAATGGCAACAGCTTTTTCATTTGTTTCCCTCTTGCTCTGCTTTTACTTTTCCCTTAGTTCTACACTCCAATATCAAGTCATTATCTGGAGAGTAAATCACGGCACACGTATAACACTGGTGCTTATAGACATTGAAATCTGTCCACCTAAACATAGTGTCAATGACTTAACAGCCTGATAGACACAAAGCCTATAATAATTCAAATAAACATTGTAATGTCGCAATGGAGATCTTAAAGCATTCTATAAAGCAAGGCTTTTTCGAGGGGTTCTCCCACAGGCTTGCAGACCTTTCATGGAGCCGGGAAAGCGGTCCTTCCTGGCCTTCTGGAAGTCGCTCTCACTCATCCAGCTGCCCAGCTGGCTCTTCACTCCAGCGGCAGGAACGGGCATAGTGTCCCTTTGCTGCCTCGTCACGATCACGGTCTTACTCTCCACACGTGCCACGTCCTTAGGGTCTGTGCGTGCTAACCAGCTACATACAATGAACAACATTAGGGCATTTTTAATTCAAATTTGCAGCAGGCTTATACAGTACTGGGCAAAAGTCTTAGACAGTCAAAAGAAATGTTTAAGGCTATTTGTCTGGGTAGTAAGTGCAGTTTTGCTCAAAAAAAAACCCAAAACATTAGAACTTGTGAAAAAACTAGTACAATTTTTTTCTTTTCTCAAAAAAAAGTTACTGATATCTTGCTGAACGGCTAGATGAACACGGCTTCAGTTCCCAAACCTCTCCTCAGGGCACCTCAGTCGTTCCATGTAGGTATTGGTGAAATGTAATTGATTAAATTTTCAAAAGTCAATGAGATACTGATTAGCTATACGAGCTGTGCTAGTGGTTGAGTCAAAAAAGCCTATCCCAGATAGCAAAGAGCAGAATACAGTTATATCCTAGACTATCATAGGGAACACACACACACACACACACACACACACACACACACACACACACACACACACACACACACACACA